GTGAATGCGTATCCGGATCCAAGGTCTCGTGAAATTAGTTTTTAGATCCTCCGGTTATAAAAACGAAAAGAAACAAAAGTGAAGATCAATTAGTGATTATGTATTCAATGTGGGAGGTGACACAGTAAGTATATATTGGAGAAGAGGTAATGGGCCGGGCCGGGCCTCCATATAAATTGATTTATAAGAGCATTTGATTATCTTTTTCGTTTCTATTTCTTTGTTTAAAGGGTTTGAAATATTCAAAGGAGAAAGCAAAGCAGCGAGAGGAGCGGCGAGTGGCAGTGAATCGTGTTTGCTACTTTTTTCCTCTTCACTCAACAAATCTGATTAATCGAAGAAACCAAATCTCTTTCTCCGTCTCGGAAAATGGGGAATTTTCTGCCGAAGGAACCACCGCCTCCGGTGGTGCTTGTCCCTCCGCTCTTTGATTTCCCTCCTCTCTCCGCCCGTAACAGGTTTCCTCTTCTTCTTCTTCGCCGTTTGAATCCTTTGCTCCGATTTGATTTTCGTCAAGTTCTGTTCAATTTTTTGTTTTTCTGTGTTACCTGACCTATTAGTCGCTGTTCTCTATGGATTCTGATTACACAAATTTGTGGATACACCAACGTATATGTAATATACTCTGTTATTTGTTCAGTTTTGTGTAATTGTTTGAGGTGGTGATGCAGGATGTTGGAATCATCATATAATTTGTTGTTTGGGAAGGTTGCATTGAAATGTCTATTTGATGATTACTTTGAAGAAGCACGTCATTTCTCTGCAAAGTTCCTCTTGAAGCCTATTGATGATCCTCATGTCGACTTGGTTGCATCTGTATCCGTTTATAACAACTCTTTTGTTTGTTTTTTAGTTTCTATGTAATGATGTCTCTCTTATGGTGCAATTTCAAAAAAATTCCTTAAGTAGTATTAAGGTTTCAGGCGCTCTAGATAGTAAAGTGGAAGGAGGAGATCTTGTGGGAAATGCATTGTTTCGCTGGCAAAGGTAATAATATTGCACTCTGTTGATATACTTCATGTGTCTGTCAAAAAATAGAATATTGCTTAACATGTTTTTCTTTAACTGTGTAGTGATGTTGATGATCCTCATACTTTTGTGGACCTCTCTGTGTCAACCTCCAATCCGTAAACTCCGTGCTACTTTTTGATATCTTTCTGGGAGTTCATCTTCGTTACAGCAGTTTAATGTTTTAATATACTTCTTTTGTTTGTTATCGCTAAGGGTTCTTCTAATGAGGTCATCGGCTTACTACCCTAAATATGGAATCGGAGCATTTGCTATATACCCTTTGCTTTCGAAAAAGACGTAAGTTACATTTCGGGGAAGAGCCCTGCATTTTACTTTAGATTTAATGTTTTCGTATTTTGTAATATTGTGAGATACAATACGTTGTTTCTGTAGTCAAAAATTAGCTGAAGAATATGGAATCATGGGGTTGAGATATGGCTCAACGAATTTATCTCTCGGAGCTACTGTCTCTCCTTTTGATAGTAAGCACATCTTAGTCTTCTGCAAATTCCAGTCTACTTTTGTACAGAATGCTGACTCTTTAACTCCACCAATTTAGCAAAGGACGAATTGCCAAAGAGTGCATGGCTTGTAAGCAAAATGGGAAGGCTTACAGTAGGAGTGCAGTATGAGCCGCTATGTGAGTTAGTACATTATGTCTGCTAGATCTTACTTGTTTTACCATTGAAAAGAAGTGGGCATCAACAATCGTAATGGGACTTTGTGGTAGGTAAAAGCAAAGACATGGCAAAGTATAGCGACCTAAGGAATTGGAGTTGTGCTGCTGGCTATGGAGTAGGGTCAAAAAGCCCCTTGAGCCCCTCTTTCAACTTTGGCCTTGAACTAGCGAGAAGCTCTCAGGTCACGCTTTTATACTGCAGGATGAAAAATTTGGCTGTTATATTTCTATATGCAGATTTTAAGCCATACAATCCCTGATCTCTCATGGCTAACTCCCATATTTTTTCCAACGAACTATCAGTAAACCATTTTGTTGTATTGTTGTTAATTGCATTCTTAGCCTTGCTGATTTTGTTCTCCTTCTCTTAAATGCAGTTTATCGCTTCGTTTTACCAACATGTAGTAGTCCAAAGACGGGTACAGCTCTTTGAAACTTGTCCTTTTTGTGCTGCATCTGTTTCGAAGTATCCTGATATATAAAGTTTAGCACAACTTCTGGCTCAATATGAAATTGACTTGGTGGACTTGGAACAGGTGAAAAATCCTTTTGAAGAAAACGAAGTAGTTGGAATCACAAACTACATTGACTTAGGTTTTGAGCTACAAACAAGGTAGTGATCATCTCTAATCAAGAACATTGTAGCTAATGCTCGTCTATTTTCTTTGAAACAGTTTTGTTTTCTTCTTATATTGAAGGGTTGATGATTCCCCCAAGACACCAGATGGCTTTCCAGATTCTTCATTGCAGATGGCTGCATCTTGGCAGGCCAATAAGAACTTCTTGCTGAAGGTTAGAACACATGCCTTTTTGAGTAACCGAAAAAGCTTTATACTCAGACTCAGTATCTCGTTAAGTAACATTTTCAATTTTTTTTTACAGGGTAAAGTCGGAGCTCTAAGCTCAACACTCACATTAGCATTCAAGTCGTGGTGGAAACCGTCTTTCGCGTTCAATATTTCAGGTATGTCCTCAGTAAACAATTTTTCCATTTAGTGAACAGTTTGACCGTAAAATTAAGCAAAATCCAGATGAGCATTAGCTCATGTTGGGGCTCATTTTGATGCAGCAACCACTAATCATAAGACTGGAGAAGTAGAATGTGGGTTTGGTTTCCGTGTTGATAGCTTAAGGGAAGCCAGGTCAGTGCAATCAAACCTCTTTTTAGTGGATGATCTTTTACATTTCAACGTCACTCGCTGTTTGGTTTTATATGAATTCTATGAAAATTGCAGTTACCAAAGAGCTGATCCGAACTTTGTAATGCTGACACCGAACAAAGAACATCTCGCAGAAGGGATTGTGTGGAAAATGGGGAAGAGACCAATGTTTCAATCCGATGTAGACGCAGAGAATTTCAACGAGTTGCCAAAAGAACTTAGACCGCCTCAGAAGATTCTCTAAAACTGTTCTCTCTTCTACTACAAAACCTTCGACGGAGTCAAGATTTTAATAAGTTTGACGAAAAAATTAAGGTTTAGTAATAATCATGCACTCAAGTAGTATGACAAAGTGTTTTGACTTTCAAAATGGTGACAAACACTCTCCCTTGCGAGCTTAACAAGGATAAAGTTTATACATTATTATTAATTTTGAGGGTGAATTTTGCTATCTAGCCAAAATTTTAGGCAAAGTTGGTACCAATGATGCAGTGATAAAATTGTAAGTAAGAAATGTGCTTTTTTATATGTGATTAAATAAATAGTATTACTATTACCGAAAAATAACATGGTATTTGTTAAAAAAAAACATGCGAAAAATCTATGTTATTCATGCAATAGATAAAATATCAATTTTAGGATTTTGTTTTCAAAAATATTGCTAAAGAAAAAAAAATTCAAAATAATTAGAGAATTTTTGAGAAATGCCATTTTTAAAATGCTATTTTTCAAAAGTACCACTTTTTTCAAAATTATTTACTCAATATATCATTTATGTATGGATTAACTATATTGTAGTAGGGTTTAGTTTTCAGGTTTAATATTTGTTAGAGGTTTGAGGAAATAATATATAATGATGAGATTAGTTTAGTTCGTTATCACTAAGGGTTTAGTATTTATTATATATAACGATGAGATTAATATATAATATTTATCACTAAGGGTTTGTTCAATGGTGAAGGTTTTGTGGAGTTGTTTATGCAACATGTTGATTTCTCTCTGGTGATGATGAAGATGTTCTCGAGTCTAGTCTTCCCTGTCCAACAGATCAGTGTCTTTGGTCTCCGTCTTTTCCGAATAATTTTTTTTGCGACGATGTATTTCAATAGTTTTCCCTCAATGATATTGGGTTGAGTATCAATGAAGAAACAAGGCTTAGATTTTGTTTATTTCTCTTGTTGTTGATCTTCTATGTTTTGGTTTCTTATTGCTTTAGTCATTTCTCAGGTTGGTTTTATCCCTAGTCATGACATATGAAGGTTGTGGTTTCTAGGTTCTCTTCAGCTCCTGCATTCTCGTCTTCCCGTGGTGTGAGTTACAGATTCAGAGCTAGCTTCCCGTCTCTACCTTATGTTTTAGTTGTAAGTTTGCAGAGTTGGTTTTGATTTGATTGTGTAGGACCGAAATTGGCACACTAAGAGATTGGAGATGAATTGCGATAAGAGATACGTTAAGGGAAGAG